ATAAAACTCATGTCTATTCACACTGGGGATATTTCTCCGCGACCGTAGGCAGTGACCTGTTCGTTGTTACAGGGATCGGCCATTGCAATGTAATGTGAAAGGCATACATGTGCCAAGATTCCAAAAAATCCCAGTATGGTATCCCTAAGATCTGGATTCCGGATCTTCTGGGATCTGCTTTTGAAATATTGTCGATGAATCCATTTGATTTATGGACCTTTCTTGAAAAGTTCTCAAAGGATACTTTGGGACCCTGGATCTTTCATGCAGTTTTATCGAATCTGTTATGTATATAAAACTTATCGTCTGAAGCTCTGGATTATCTTTAGCTCTTCCAGATGATCTTATGGCATCTTGGATTTTTGAAGCTTTTTCTGGAGGACTCCCTAGAGTTTTCTAGAGGACTCCCTGGAGGACTCCCTAGAGTTTTCTAGACGACTCCCTGGAGGACTCCTAGAGTTAGCTTTGAATATTGCCAAGGAATCTGTCCAGATCGACTTGTACAGCTGTGCTCATTGTTTTGGATATGTATGAAAGCCATATCACTTTTTGGCAAGGTTACTTTAAGTTCATTTTTCGAACCTCAACTTGTGTCACTGCTATAACCATGGTGAAATGTTAAGACTTTCCCCTGCCTATTGACATCCTGATACCTTATTGACAATCAAATCACGTCTCATCAGAACAAATATGTGCAAGTTCAGTGATGCTAAAGTCAAAGAATATCAAGGGTCCGGGGTACCAAAGGATCCAGTCTTCAATATTGTATAACGTAACTGCAAACCTTTCACCTTGGTTAGCAAGATGGAGAGGCAAAGAGCAGCACATGCAATTGATCAATATTGATTGCATTTTTGAATACTCATTATTGATGAAAGCAGGTATCCTGTTCCTAGTTCCCGTTAGTTCCATCGACAAAACAGAACCCTGAATCCTGCTTCCCACTGATTGTTTCAACAAAACAAAATCCGGAATCCTGGTTCCCGTCAATTCTGTCGACAAACCAAGACTATGCATCTTGATTTCCACTGTTTTCTTCGACTGAAAACCCTGGGTGCTGGCTGTCACTGTTTTTCGATAAGCACAAAGCACTTACTTCTGGGTCTTAGCCACAAAGTCATACAAATAACAGAATAGGTCACATATTTTTGTTCTCACAATAGTAAAATGTCAAACGCCAAAAACAAGTAACACCCCGCAGGCAAGTCAAACCATCAGAATGCCCTTATGTCGCCATTACAGCTAAACAAGTTGTACTGTTAGTTGGAGGTTATTCCCTACAGCTTAGAAGTGAATGCCAGACAGCTGACACTATGATATTGCATTACCCACATATATATGCTCTCAAAGCAGTTAAAAGTACTAAATCACAGGCATGGGAACGGACAGCACGTCCTAAAACCACCACTGCAACAAATAAAGCCTTGCCACTAGTTGAAGATCTTTGCCTAACATGTACAGTTGAGTATCTGACAGCTGACAAATTATGCAAATCATTCTAGGATAGTATGGGTGTCGATTATCATTGGTACATTAATCAGCCACATTAGGATACGACAGTACGCCATTAGATTCCAAGGCGATAGAGCACTGTCACAATGTCATCCATCTAACCATCAGGGTCTCCCTAGAATAGTGCCAGCGTTGCAGCTGTCAAGGCTGGAAGAGGCTTTTCGCAAAAGCTTTTGCATTTGCCGTCTAGCGGGGACGTAGTGACTGGGGGAGCCAGGTGGGAGAGGGGGGGGGGGGGGCTAAGACGTGGCGACTAGGGGAGGGGGCAGGAAGGGCTGAAACGTGGCAACTGGGGGAACCAGGAGGGGCTAAGGTGTGGCGACTGGGGAATCCAGGAAAGGCTATGACGTGGCGACTGGGGGGGGGGGGGGGGGGAAGGGAGGAAGGGCTAAGACGTGGCGACTGGGGAGCCAGGAGGGGCTAAGACGTAATTGCTGGGAGAGCTGGGGTGGGTTAAGACGTGGCGGCTGGGGGGGAGGAGGGGCAGGTGGGGCTAAGGTTTCTGACTTTTGAAAAGTTGTATATTGGCCCTTTTAAGGCAGGGTCAGTGTTACCTGAAGGGCCAAATATGACTTTTCGTTAACTGGAAAGCAATGACAAAAGTAGATCATTCACTCCAAGCCGTAAGAAGCTTCCATTGTTAAATTTCATTGACAAAAATTCACGGGAAAATGTGGCTCCTGTTATCTGCGATGAGGCTGCCGAAAAAAAGAACAAAAAACAAAACGAGACGGAGCCGAAGGCCTTCGGGATCCCGTTAATGAGCGCCAGCGACTGCAAGAGACATACTAGCGCTCAGGGACCATGACGTGGCCGGGTTTCAAGCACTGGCCACTCATGTGGCAGTGACAGGCGCTGACCATCCGGCGGTCATTACGCCCACGAAACGAATAGATCGTCATCTCGTGTATCTGAAACTTTTGCACCTGTGTATACTTGGTCACTCCAGTATTCAACCACATGTGTCAAGAGACACACGCAGTTTTGTCATTTGTTTTTCATGTCATGTCATGGCATTTGTCATTGTCATCATGTCATTCAGTTTTGTCACGCGCAACGTTCTGCGTATTCAAAAAGTGACCTAAATAGGCTTTCACCAATAAGCATTTTAAGCATGCGCGCTTTAAACACACCTAGCAGAAAGAAAACTGACGCTTAGTCTTGTAGTCTCCTTGAACCTTGCGGCAGGAGCAGAGCAACTACCACTTCATGTGATGCACAGGTAGGCAAAAACGACCGCGTGTCGGAAAACGGTACTTTTGAATGTTCTGTCAAATGAAATTATGAGCGTGTAGAATGCATCGGGATAGTACATTTGACCTTTGCGATTTTCAGATTTATTTCGGAACGGACTAGCTCAAACGGCATCACGGACTTATAACGCAATAACGTTATCTCCATTGCTCGTGTTGTAATTGCTAATTTCATGCAGAGAATCAACCTCGAAATCGCACAGGTGAAAACGTTTGGTCAGGGGCTGAAGGGACTTGCCGTCCCAGCCCAGAGCACCCAGCAGCTGCCATTATGGCGATGCGGGAACCCTCAGATGAATACATTACACACATAACATTGATCTCATTCGTGATACGGCAGACCCTCTGACCTGAGCTTCTGGAACAATAGGGGACGCAGAGATCGTCACTGGGATCACTGGGATCATCGTCACATAAGGATCATTGATCCATGCAGGGAGTTCAATAACCGACACCGGAACACCAACGCGGCTTGTCGGCCCCTGATTGGAAAGGTGTTGATCGCCCCTCGTTCGGTACTGGGAACTCTGGCAGGTCACTGTCTCATTGTGAGTACGAACCCTTGCGTCGTTGTTTTTCATGTCTCCTTTCATTTTTAGGGGGATCATGACCACCACAAAAGGCCTTTTGGCATTTGAGCTCCCGCCCGTGTCACTGTCCAGCAAATTTGCGTCTGGCCGACTTTGGGTCCATTTCCGGCATGGGATCACCTCTTCAGCACCGGAAGCACCTGATCAGCCCGCGGGCCTTTCACCGTTTTAGGGGCCCGATTAACACAAGAGATTTATGATTAACGTTTCCAGGCCTTTGTCCTGCCTCCGTTTGGGAAAGATTGGTATCGATGTCGTGCGATGTCGTACTACTACGATGTCGCACTTGTTTCTCAATGGTTAACTATCACATTATCTCTGGACCCTGTGACCATGAATCACTTCCGACGCTCGTAGTACATGAGCTGTACCATTGGTGACCGTGTAGGCTCATACTCACTCTGGGCTAGAAGGAGCAAGACCGTTGTTGGTTGTATAGGTAGTCAATATGGTGTGAGCGTTGGTGAGTGCAAGTAACTAAAAAATGAATATGTAATTTATCAATACCTCTCATTCACTGACTCACGAGCTCAAGTCTGGCACGAGCGAGGCCTACATTAGTATAACCATCACGCAAGCAGTCTAAAAGCTGCTACACTTGGTGAGCAAGGCGGGGAGCTGCGGACAGTGAGGGGCGCTACACTAGCAACTTCCAAATTAGAGTCAAAATGAGCGAAGACTTAGATAGGCTAAGTGGTAATAATTCAGGTGTACGTTGTTCAGTGCATTGGCGAGGAACATTAGTCACGCAAATAAGACAGCAGTATCAGCCTTATTCCTCCGAAAAACCGGGAGAATGGAAATATAGTTAGGTTGATATTTCGTCAATGTGCCTTTCGTGACTTCTGCTATTGTTGCGAAAAAGGCATGTTGCCGAAATATCAATCTAACTATTTCCATTCTCCTGGTTCGTTCGAGGAATGAGGCTAATGCTACTGTCTTATCTGAATAATTCAGGTGAGAAGAGAAACTCATGACATGAGGGAGACAACGTCTGATCTTTTCCGTTTGACGCATGTGAATCTCAAACGTGCGATTGACGTGTGTGCAGTTGTGAAATCAGTGGCAAGAGAAAAAGCTCAAAGTCCGCACCTGCGCACACAGACGCACACTGCCGGATGGTCTTGTCGTCGACGGTGATACGGTAGCACCATATAACGCGTAAATCAGCCAAAACGTACACGAATCAATACCGAACGACGCGCGCCCAAAATGAAGAGCTACTTTGTTATAGAAATTACATAACATATTTTGCAAGCATGGCTGTGGGATGAAAGCATTTGATGGAACATTTTGTTGCAATAACCCTGACTCAGCGACATCAGACGTGCAATACCACTTTCAAGGACAACAGTTGCTTACGACAGGTCCTAGTACAACACGAAACTTCATGACACAATCCCGTGCCAGCCTGATCCTGTTTGTGGACCAGCCACCAATCGACCGTCATTGAAGAATCAAACAGGCGCAGTTGCTGGGACGCATTGTGACATGCCCACCGCACGGTGGTCAGACCCTTGTTGCTCTGCCGACAATGTAATGTTATCAGTGCCGAATTGCTCCTTCACGCTACGAAGCAACCGCCCCTTCCAGGCAGTGCTGTTCTTCATCCCTCCCTCCATCACCGCACACCATACTTTGGCAGGTGAAAGGCGATCTGAAGATGATGGAGACGTTCGTGCTAGACGCTGCCCACGATTACCAGTACGACGGCACCAATAACTGGAAGTACGACTGGACGCTGCCTAAGGCCTTACTCTTCACCATCAGCATCATGACCACCATCGGCTACGGCCACATCGCGCCCAGAACCAGCAGGGGCCAAATCTTTACGATCTTCTACGCCCTGATCGCGACACCGCTATTGCTCGTTTTCCTGACCAAAATCGGCGACAGCATGGCGACGGGCTTCACGACAGTCTACAGGTCAGATGGTCAGGTCTACATGTCTACAGGTCTACAGGTCAGATGTTTTCGCAGTATGTGCAGAGTTTTACGGAAGGTTTTTACAGCATGCCTACGTGGTTGCGACCTGTCATCCGTCTCGAACTACTTCCAAGAGATCTTGCAGACCGTTTGGTGACTGTTAACGAAATCCGCATGCGGTTTACCGTGAGAAGGCCTTCATAAATTTGGGTTGGGGGGTAGAGGGTCCGCCTGTCCGGGAAACTTAAGAATAGCGTAGCGCAGTAGTTGTCAACATCTTGGGTGCCCATTTTCCCTGACAATGCATGCAATTATTTGTTTTCCGTCCCAAAAACAAACAGTAAAACACAGTTAGCGTATGTCATGCTCCCGTTAAAAGCACAGTTTACCTCTTAGCTTTCCTTTCGTAGCAATATTAATCGAAATAGCCATGGGCGTAATTTGATACGAAATATACAAGACAGAGAGAATAGCACAAACAGACCGGAGAACCCATGGTTTGTCGCGAGGTCTATCAAAATTGCCTTTAAACGTCACCCCGGAAACGTTTTGTTTCGTCGTGTGGTACTAATTTGTCGTTTTACTTCTGCAGGTTTAGACCCCGTGAAACTGAATCATTGCTACAGCAAGGATGGCAGCTTAATATCAATGCGATCTTCCGTTAGTTTCCAAGGTTATATCAGGACTCTGGGAAAGTTTCAGGCTGTTAGAAGGCGGATACTTGGGGTTCATGAGCTGAGTACAGTCGTTTCATAGCGGGACTGTCTGATGCGTTCCAAGAATCCATGCATATATGTCTACTTGCCCGCATATAGAGCATCCTAACTCACCTGCCCAACGCTAACTGCCATGTAATGGCAGTTGACTTTAATATATGTATATATATATATATATATATATATATACGTTTGATTAAAAACAACTGCTGACTCAGCATTGACGAGCTTTTTGACGCATCGTTCTAGTTTCTGGGCCTTTGACGAGACTCAACAAACTCAAGACTAAGCTTAACAAACTAGTCACTGCTGCCAATGTCGCTGTTCATGGCATACACTTTTCTAAGATAACGGGTGAATTTGCGCCTATTTGTGTTTATGGATCTGCAAAAACTCACAAAAAAACACCCTTTCGTCTAATAATTTCACAGATCCCTTCACCAACGTATAGAATTGCACAACGTCTTAATGGTCTTCTGCACCCATATCTTCCGATGTCCTACAGCTTATTGTCAACGGATGAGCTTATTGATATAGTGCGATCTCGTCAACCTAAGGGTCTTCTAGCCTCTCTAGATGTTGAAAATCTATTTAAAAACGTGCCCATTGAAAGAACCATATGCATCATCCTTGAACGCATCTACAATCATCCCGAAATTCCTCTCCTCAAAATATCATAGCGCCTTCTTGAACAATTACAAACAGCCTGTACGTCAGAAATTCCTTTCCGCGCGTCTGATGGCCGAATGTATTGCCAAATTGAGGGTGTTGCGATGGGCTCACCTCTAGGACCTCTATTCGCTAATTTCCTTATAGGACACGTAGAAGCCGACACACTACAAAATGACGACATAAGACCGGACATTTACCGCCGCTACGTAGACGATATCTTTGTGGAAGTTAGCGACATTGACGAAATAGGACGTTTCAAAAACACCTTTGTAGAGCAGTCTGGCTTAAAATTCACAACAGAGCTAACTGTGCAAAACGTAGTAACCTTTCTTAACGTGGATGTCGATGGACAAGGACAACAATTCAAAACGACTGTTTACCGAAAACAGGCTAACAACGGACGAACAACGGACGGTGCTTAAATGCTGGCGGTGAGTGTCCTCGACGCTACAAAATTAGCGTTATAAGGTCCTTCATTAGACGAGCATTTAATCACTGCTCTGATTGGACAGGACTACATCCAGAATTAATAACAATCAGGCAGATCTTAGTGAACAACGGTTTTTCAAACTCTGACGTTGAAAACGAAATAAAACGACATATTACAAGGCACTTTCACAGCAAACCAGACAAGACATCCAACCAACCGTCAAACTGTATGCTCAAAATCAAATGGCATCTGCCCATAAACAAGACGAAAAAGCTTTACGGGATAGTATCTCCCGGCATGTTAAAGGCGAAACGACCACAAAATAGACATCTTCATTTATTATCGCAATAAAAATTATCTAACTTTCCTTTGAGAAACAGCCCAGACAAACCCGACAAACTAAAATGCACCCATGTAGTGCATCAATTCAAATGCAACATCGAAGGCTGCAAACTTCGCTCCATACACTACATTGGTGTGACCTCAACGACACTGTCACGACGCCTGACAATGCACTTGGTGACGGGGCACCTCTAGACCACATGCGACACGAACACGACATGACATTGACACGACAACAACTGACAGACGACACTGACATTTTACGGACGTGCAATGACGGAAGACGCCTTCAAATTTGGGAAAGCATATTCATTAACGAAATCTCTACGGTCCTAAGCAGACAGACAAATTCTTGCACAACTCTTGAACTACTAGGTGATGAGCGGTGAGCACTATTGATGTGATTGCGGCAATAGTGTTCTCATTGCGTCTTTGTGGTGTTTCCATTATGAGTGTTTCTTGTACGCATCAGAGTGAAAATAGGATTCTGTCTTACTTCAATCAGTTATGCTTCATTTATGTTCTCCGTACCAAAAGATGTTTTCCAACAATAGTGCACAACTTTTGATCCTTTAAACTCAAAACTTATTTCCTGTGCCATTCAGTCTTCTCCGACGATGAGGTAGGCTCTCGAAACGTTAGAGTGTAGGGAGCGATGAATATATGAGTAATTTTGTGCGAACTACCTTTAACCTAGGTGATGATGCCAAGTCAAAGGCCCGGAAACTTGAACGATGCGTCAAAAAGCTCGTCAATGCTGAGTCAATAATTATTTTTAATCAAGCATGTATAAAAGAAAAGATTCTGCCAAAATATTCCAACATATACATATATATATATATATATATATATATATATATATATGTATAAAACATATAAATACATATATACATATATATGTACACATATGCAATGTCGTTTTGATCCGAGGGCCACACGTTCCAAGCGTCACAAATCACCACACGTAACTTATTTGCCGTAGCACGGACATCTCTATTCCCATCATCAGATGTGACATGCTTTGACATCGTGTGATTAAATGCACGAGCACGATTTCTCCCAATTCAGGCTTCATGACTCTTTCTCTTAACAGTACACATGATATGCATGACATCAAGGCAGTGTTCACGTTTGGATATATCGAACAAATTATCAAATGCGATGAAATAAGTTCACTCATAGCTATAAGTACACTGCTTTCGACAACGAGTGCATTTTTTCCAGCTTTGGTTCCTGGTTACCATTGGTTCCCTGACAAAACAAAACCCTGGATCCTTGTTCTCACTGGTTCCTTCAAAAAAGCCAAATCCCAGGACCCGGCTCACTCTGAATCTTCAGCAGGCTATGAACTTCGTTGCTGGTTCCTATTGGTTCTTTTGAAAATACTGTACCTTTATTGCTGGATGTCACTGATTTTGCACAAGGACAAGACCCAGATTCATTGGTTTCATCCACAAAGGCGAGCAACTCACGGGATAACCCACACATTTCTGCTCTCATACCACATAAAAGTCGTACGCCACAGGCGAGTAAAACAACCAGCATTCCCTCATGCCACTACTGCGACTAACCACCACTGCGCCGCAACTGGAATGTATGACATTTGCAGATATTAAACCAGGCATCATATTTGGTGAAATAGGCTCACTTATAATTGTTGGTATGCTTTCAACTCGAGAAGACTGGTCTAGGCAACACAATTTCGTTAGTCAGTAAGCATGTTGCTCAATACATAATTGTCTGATTATGTCGTGGAACGTTTGCACCACGTTAGAAGTGCTGTCAAGCTGACCGTGCGAAATTGCCACCTTAGCAATCTCTTAAAGTGCTTCAACTTGGCGAGAGGCAGCGGGGGAAGTGATAGACGCGTTTGCTGTTGCAATTTTCTTACATATCTGTCTGTGAGTTTGTCTTGTCAGCTCGTTTTCACATGCGTGCAGCACAAAACGTGGTATGTGTTTAAAACTTGCACTGCCTATAAATATTGAGTGAGAACCAATTGAAGTAGGCTATATCTGGAAACCGTGCTCACGGACGCCAGACGTAAACGAATCGGTGCTTACAATTTTCCTAGCCTTAATCGCCGCATGGCCAATAGGGTGGCATTATTTGCGTGACGTTTTGTGGCGCCATGCTTGCCTGAGTGGCCTAGGAATAGTATGCACAAACTGGTCTGTATATATCTGCGACTGTGTATCTCCGTATATTTGTAGGTGTGTAGCTTTTCCACTTCAAAATGTACTAGTTGCTGTAAGTAACTTATTTCACCATGCCTGATGCTTGCATCAATATGTTCAATTGAGGATCATTCCGTTTAATAAATTGTTTACCGCAGTCGAATCTGCTGCCGCTGGTGCAGAAGTCGACGCTACAAGGCTGAGGCGTTGTTTGGGAAAAAGGTCAAGCGTGTATCGGACGACGTCGTCGGACAGGAAGAATACATGCCCACGAAAAATGTGAGTGAATCCTTTTTCTTTCGAACCATTTATGGAACGAAAACTTTCTTCGAGTGCCTTCTCCAGCTCAGCTGCATGGATGCGTCCAGGTGAACAGAACAAAGCGACGTAGCGCCAAAAAATCGCCGCTGCTAACGACGCTGGCAATGAAAATGGTCCGCTACAAGTGGTCTAAGTGAATCATGTACTTCTGGTCGCCATGACATTCCATGTTTGGCGGTTGCCTTAGTTAACTCTCTCTCGCTCTCTCCTCGCTCTCTCTCTCGCTCTCTCTCTCACTCTTTCCCTTTTCATCGCATTTTCTCTCCTCTCTCTATCTCGCTCTCTCTCTCCCTCTCGCTTTCGCTCCCCCTCGCTCTCTGCCCTCGCTTTCGGCTTCCATTTCTTCGCTTCTCGATCTCGCTGTTCGCCCACTCGCTCGCTCCTCTCAAATCAAATTAGCATTACCCGTTTTCGAAAAAAATAAATTAGACAAACATTTGATTCCAAAAGACATACCTTTAGATATGCCACGGCATTTTGCAGTGGTAGTGGTGATTCCGACGCAATTCGCGGCCGTGCAATTTTGAAATTTAACTCCTAGCAACCTAGCAGTCCTGAGGCTTGATATTCATCATGCATGAGTCCCGCATTGCCCAATAGTTAAGTCAAGACCTCACAATTGAGGCTGGCACGCCGAAGTCGTCCTGCGCGTGTCGAACGCGGATGCTCGTGTGCGACAGGTGCATGTGCCGACCACGGTACTGCTGGTGGTGCTGATGCTGTACCTATGGCTCGGTGCCGAGATCTTCTCCAACTGGGAGGGCTGGAACCGGGTCGCCGCTGGATACTTCAGCTTCGTCACGTTGGGCACCATCGGCTTCGGCGACCTCGTACCCGGTCACAGGTACGTGCAGATGCACGTCCAGCGCACTCAGAGTGCGAAGGTGGGCAGGAAGTTAAGCGGATCCAGCCTGCGACACAGTTTTATGAGTTTTTTTGTGACCGCAGTAAAGGAGCAGGTCATCAATTCCGATAGATTCTGGCCAGCTGAAATCCTGCAAATTTTGCGTAGTTACAAAACTTCACGTAACGAATTACAGACGGTGGGGCTTGAACATACCATTTATCGAGCCTAGGGTTGAATGGTAGCATGGGACCTGTGATGTTGGGGAGGGGCAGTATGTGATGGCCCTTTTGTTGTGGTGACGTTTTGGTCTATAACGTTGCAGCCGTAGACGAAAAATAAGAATGCCAATCAGTTTGTGAAAGTTCAGGCTGTCATTGGGCGTAAAGCTGCCCTTTGCTCCGAATTGCTGGTCGTTTTACAAAAAAATAATTCAGATTTCCTGGTGATGAGTGCAGCTCTTGACACCTGCCATCACGACTATACAGCGACCCGTTGGAGAACCATAGTTGCATGGCGGCGGATGAAAGCAAGGAAATAGTTGCCGTAGTGGTTCCGACGTCATGAAATGCAAACGACACTGCAAACGGCAGAATACCATCGGTTGTAGGTAACCATCGATCCCTCCATTCGGTAGTATCGCTCGTGATGCACAATCATTTTATCACTCGCAGTCAAAACAATGATTTTTGTGCGTGAATTAAGCCGTCGCAGATTGCACTTCAGATTTGCAGGAGATTCTTACGTCTGATAGGTTTGTTAGCAGCAAAAGCATGCAGTATTTTTTCGAAATCCAAGTCCAAAGATTGGTATTCTGCTGACGGAATTGTCTATTTCACTCAATAATGAACAAAACTATTCCTAACAGCAGAGTTGCAAATGCTATGATTTCTAGAACGATAAAATAGTGGTGAGCATTTTACAGACAAGCACTTTTTCCACAGCAACAAAAAGAGGACGACAGACATGCTGCCATGCCTATTTTTTCAGCTAAAAAAGCCGTAACGCTACCTCCTAAGTATTGCCGTAATTCTAATGACACTTCGTATAGAGCCTAGCCTGGCCTAGCCTGGTGCTAGCCAGTGCTAGGTCAATGCTAGCTATTACCGTAGCACTAGCCTTATGTTAAGACCAAACTTCTCAAAACATTGCAGCTTAAAACCCGAAACCCGTCAGAAAAGGAAATACTATATACCGCAGGAGATGTCACAACTTAATACACATACGTTCACAAATGGCGATATTTCGATGGGCTCAATCGTTGCAATAAGGCGATCTTAATTTTTCAGCTTTCTTGGCTACACAGACGACTTCGCATCGGCCGTGGAGATGCTTGTTACCTCCATGTACTGCCTGTTTGGTAAGGATTTAAAAAACACAGCTGCATTTTCCGTATGGATTTAGAGCGTATGTACTACATGTTTTGGTACTTAAACTTATCAAGCAGCATGAGCTGTGAAGTTGCCCAGACAGCAGAAGCGACGCTGATCAACACACACATTATGCGTGCATAGCTATCGTTTAATATGAATATATATGGGCACAAAAACAATCTCGCTTGAAAATAATGTGGGATTTAAACCGGCTAGAGTGAACTTAATCTGGCATAAGCCCAGAAATGTATGCCCAGCACATTTCGTGCTCACAAACAAACCATATTTGCCCTGCAGCCATATTTCTCAGCAGCATGTGTATCTCACACTCACATAGAAAGCATGAACTCTCTTTTGTCCCGCAGGCATGGCTCTCATCAGCATGTGTATTCAGATGATGCAAGAGGAGATGATGACCAAGGCCAAGTGGATGGCCGAGGAGTTCGGTTTGGCTGAAGACGGCCGGGATGCTCGCGTCCCTTACCGTGTCAGCCGCACAGACACCGTGTGGAAGACGCCTAACGGCGCCGAGGGTAACACCCGGCAATCCACGGCACGACAGGAGAAGCTGCCGGAACAGGTGACGAAGAGGAAGAGGAAGGAGCGTCGAAAACGCGGAACTGAGGCGGGACGCCTTGATGGAGCCGCCGCACCAGAGGCGATTCAAGAGAAACCCGTTGGATCTGAAGGAGAATCCGATGGAAAGGCAAATGAAACGACCCGGATGGAAGAAGGAAAGTATCCAATGATGGAAGACCCACCTGAGAAAGAGAGCAACGCGGAATTTGATATTTAAGATGCTAATTGAGCACGTAGAAGGTTACCTGACCTCTGGATTAATCGATGCCTTATATAGGCGAGGAACAACGAAATGAAATGCGTAAAGGAGTAGATTGGGATACATTATTTGAGAGGAGGAGGCGGTGGCAATCTCATCAGAGGAGAGCTGAGATGAACAACCTGGAAAATATGCGCCATTGCAGTGTAGAAGGTCTGAGCATAGGGGAAGGAGCAGTAATGGATAGGCTGACAGATACTGTCACCCTAGTGCGAAAGACCTGGCTGAGGAAGACAGAGATATAAGTGATATGTAAGCAGGAGACCACTAAAATAACGTTTCTCCTAATGAAGTGGATGGGAAAAGGACAAAAATACTATAAAAGGGAACTTTGAAAACAAGCGAAATGGAAGTGCAAAACAAGTGCAAGTGCAAAACAAAGCCGTCGATAGAAGCGCAGTACATGGATATTTGATTCACTTGTGGAGCAGAAGCTTGACGCGCAAAGAGAGACATCATTGTCCCACAAGAAGAGTGCATGTGTGCCACTGCTTGCTTAAAATACCGTTGGGTGAAGACGTGGACAGGAAGCTCGTGGAAGATAGAAACACCTGAAATTCTGATAATTATTAAGAACACAACGAAAATATGCCAGAAATGACGCAAAAAAATCGGGAGAAATGAAATGAGAGAGAGAGAGAGAGAGAGAGAGAGAGAGAGAGAGATGAGAGAAGAAGAGAAAGAGAGAGAGAGAGAGAGAGAGAGAG